GAGAGACATGAAACAGCTTGTCTCTTCTTTTGCTGCTAAACGAGTCGTCGTTTAGTTCAGATGGTTTGTCGATTGGATTTCTTCGACACCACTGGTTGAGCGCTTCAACTAGTTTGGTGAAGGTCCATTTCTCCCATTCAGGGTCCGTTCGCACCAAATCTCCACGAATGCTAGGCAGTTTATCAAGAGTCATTGGCACGGCGCCATTGACCCCGTCAAGCTTGTCCAATGTCTCTAAAGCTTGAACGCAGTACGATAATTTGTCGCTAAACTCATGAATCTTTTTCTGATTGGCCGCTTGTATTGTGGGCAACCCAAGTATCTCGCGCGTGTAACCCTTTACTATCTCGGATTCTTTCCCAAACTTATCCTTCAGGATGCTTATCGCTCGATTGTACCCTTCGCTGTGGAAGGGCAATGCTTCGATTGTTTGTCGTGCTTTAGGCTCTAACAACTCGCGAAGATAAGGCAACTCCCCAAAACCTTGGCCAATCCATAGGAGAACCATTAAATTTCGAAATCACTAGCTTCGGTAATTTCGCTTGCATTCCAATCATAGTTTTACTGGTCTGCGAGGTGTTTTTAAGAATATGTTCATCTTGTAACTTTACTTTAGTTTCATGCAGTTTTACCTCAAACTTGATCTTCTCGTCGTTCTCCATCTCCTCTAGTTTCCTCTTTTTTTCCGCCAACCATTCCTTCGTCAGTCTTACATGACTATCTGCCTCGCTGATTTTGGTATCAATCTCCTCGCTCCACTCGGTAGTATCCTCTTTTCTGCCCAGTTTTTCAGCTTCAACCGTAAGCCTTAGCTTGTCCACTTCGCCAATAACAGTTCTAAGTGTTCCCTGATGTCGAGCAATAGGCTCTTCTTCGGATTTTGCAAGAATTCCGTCCGTGCGCTTCGTCGTTAGTTGCAATTGAACTAATTTTGTTTCCAGCGCGGTGCTGGCGTTTGTCTCACTCATTTTACGATCCCGTCGGAGGTGCTAGGTTTAGTAAATTGACCCTTACTAAAAGGTATTGAACAATCAAACTCTCGACGAAGCAAATTCGGTTTTATAAAATTATATTATTGAAAATCACTCACAGTTGTATACGCGGTCTAGTCTCTCTCACAGTCCCACAGTCACTACATTCCTATCTTTTAACTCCTCTTCATAATAATACAAATGTGTCAATCATGCAATGTTCGTCCCTAATTAAAGTAATAATTAATCCTGCTATTAAATCACAAATATTAAGATATATATAGACAGTCTTCGACAAGCATACAGATATGGATACACAACAAAAAGCGTTCAGATAATTGATGTGATTAAAGAAAGAGACATGAGTTTATTTGAAAAAATATGTAGCAACCCAGACCACCCTTTATACGAACTACTTCCTCCTAAAAGACAAAGACCGTTAAGAGAACGCGAACACGATTTCATATTACCTAAGGTTAAAACAGAAAGATTCAAACGGTCGTTTTTAAATAGGTGTCTTTTTAATAATTTTAGCTAAAATAATTAACTTAGATACATAATAATAACTTAGTCTTAGTCTTTTTAAGAATTCTACCTAAGAATAATTAACTTAGATACATAATAATAATTAAGTTTATTTTTTTTTTTTTGGAACCTTGTATATGAGAATTTTAAATGTAAAGTCACACGTCTGTTGTGGCTATGTTTAATAAAGACTTAATAATAATAATTACTCCATCGAAGGCGGCATTACGTAATGATGTAATTTTCTAAGTCGCTGATTGGCTACAAGTGATGTTATTAATAATACATTTGAGAACGGAGTCATAGACTTCGCACACATGCAAGTACTGCGAACATTTATTTGGTATTTAATATAGTCAAAATGCAAGAACCTTGCCAGTTCCGCTGCTGTATTTTGTTTGGTATAATTGCGGACGTAGCGATTAGTACCAAATTATGAGCAAATATTTAATCACAGCTGAGTAAAATTTAGTTTTCAGTGTTTTTATGTGATAGTTTGCAATATTATAACAAATGATGCATTCTTGTTACATATCTGTATGCTACAATAATAGGAAATTTAAGTAAGCGACGTTTTTGTCAACACGGATTTATAAATTTCAATTCATTCACACTTTCACATACACACTATTTTTGGTCGATTTCCAAGCAAATTTGGATATAAAAAATATATTATATTCTTTAATTTTTTGGTATGGTATTAATTTGATCTCTTAAAATCCCGAATCCCACTTGAATTTTAGACCCATCCCGCAAAACCGGTACAGGCTAGGCTCCTCTTCATAATGACGTCATTTTGTAAGTCGCTGATTGGCTACAAGTTGACAGTTACGGGTTAGCAGGACGATAGCATTATTTCTGCTGCGCAGATACAAAAATACACGCGAGGCTTATATTATTCTTTCTATTCTTCTTACATCCTACTCAGGGTTCGTACAAAACTTGAAAATCCTTTTTTGTAAATTGATTTTATTCATGTCTTACTATGGCCAAAATTGTTTGAAATTCATTAAAGTTGCCGTTTGAACAGTTGAACGTCTTTTCAGCCCTTTAGTCCTTGAATTTCCTGATATATGGCCTTGAAAGTCCATGAATTTAACCCTTCCTGGCCTGTACGAACCCTGCCTACTACACCCGTCGACTCGATAGCTCAATGGGTAGAACGGCGGACCCCGGCGGTCTATACTGAAACGTGAAACCCGAAAATGCGAGTTCGAATCGTAAAATAACATGAATTAATTTATGAAATTGTAGGTCACTCCGCCCTGTGGCCCACGCAATGACGCACGGAAACCATAATATGTCCGATACAACGGCATACTTCGAAACCCGGACCGGACTCGGACTCGGACCCGGACTCGGACTCGAAGAAAATCCGGACTCGAGAAAAACCCGGACCCGGACTCGAATAAAATCCGGACTCGTGTTTAAGAAAACCCGGACTTGACTTTTGAAAACCCGGACTCGAAATAGAAAAAAACGGATTCAAAACAAGGACTCTGTGTACGAGAATGTAAAGGTTTTTTGGACAGGTTTAATAATAGTTAACATGATAAACGATGATCTCTTTATAATAATAATCCGGTATACATCTTTAAATAAATTTCTAGAGTGCTGTAGCACAAACTGGCGTAGTGCTGATAAAGAATCTGAGTTGCATCGGTAATATTAAATTTGCGGATTTGTTCTCTCGCACGGGTGTCGATCCCCATCTCTTCCCGCTTTCTATATATAGATATAGATAGAATACTTTATTTGAAAAGCACTAATATAGGTGTAGATCACTTTCTTTTCTAGTGACTCAGTGTTATGTGTTATGTGAGGATACTAATCAGTAATCATACTATGATTCCTCACAAAATAATCACGGCTATATAGTATATACCTGGCGGAACAAATCATTTAGGCACTTGAACACCAAAATGCATTTATGCATACTTGCGCGAGTAGCTGAATCTACCCTAAACCTAAATGAATAACTAAAATCTGTCTCAGCAGTCAAGAATGTCTTGTCCGGAAACCATCTCGATACATGATTGCTGCAACCATAGCAGACAACGTGTTGGCGGCAAGGGTAAAATATACCCCAACACATGTATCAATGACAATGGACAGCACACTTTCTAAAAATTTGTCAAAATGACACGAAAAATAACTCGAACGTGTTTTGTGGCTTAGGCATCGTTTCAATGGTAGCAAATCCAATCGGATAGCTTTCAAAGTTCCGAATATATATATACAGTATATATATATATATATATATATATATATATATATATATATATATATATATATATATATATATATATATATATATATATATATAAAATAAGTGCAACGACTCAACAAATTCCACTAGGCATCTTTATAAAGATGCCTAGTGGAATTTGTTGAGTCGTTGCACTTATTTAATTATGCTCTGGATATCCATTGAGCACTCTGCCAAATGTTTTTGTTAACAACGAAACGTAATTCTATATATATATATATATATATATATATATATATATATATATATATATATATATATATATATATATATATATATATATATATATATTGCCAAAAAACAAACTCAATAAAAATTATTTCCGTTTTAGCAAAGTACATACATACATACATACTTTATTGTGTTCCCTAAATAGGGATTTTCAACACTGATTTACAAAAATAAATGTTGTTCTATTTACAAGTTTTAGAATCTAGAATTTAAATTAAGGTAAAAAGGTAAGACATTTGTATAAAGTTTAACAAGGTAAAATTATCTACTTATATATTTGTTCTAGCATGCTTCGCTTCAGTTCGGTTTTGAAAGTTTTTAGGGAGTCTAACTTTTTGTACTTTATGTCCAAATCATTCCAGAGTGTAACGCCTCTATAATGAAAGGACCTTTGACCTGCAGAAGTTTTGTACAATGGTATTTGCAGTGAGTCATGGCTACGTGTATCTCGTTGATGAATGTCAGAACGTTTTGTGAATAAATCGCTCAAATAATGTGGAACAAGTTCATTGACACATTTGTACATCATAATAGCCTCTCTTAGTAGTAATTGTTCCTTTACTGGGAGCCAGTTAAGTTCACGTAAGCCCGGCGAAATATGGTCGAACTTTCCAATATTTGTTATTATCCTGCATGCAAAATTTTGTACCAACTGTAGTTTCTTAATGTTGGTAGACGAAGTGTTTGACCAAACCGTTGAACAATAGAACATTTTTTTCATTACAAGTGCCGAGACGATGAGAGTTAAAGCTTCTTTATCGAAACATTTTTTGACTCGGTTTATTTGGCACAGGGAATTCATACATGAGGAAACCAGGTTGGTGATATGCTGGTCATATGTCAAATAAGAGTCGATTGTCATTCCTAGATCTTTGGCAAAGGAGACGGGGGTAATAGTCTCGTTGAGGAAGTTTATGGTCATATCTACGGGAAGTTGTTGTAGGTTTTGCCGTGTGCCAATCAGCATGTGTTTGGTTTTCCCGGGTTAATAAGCAATTCATTTTCGGAACAACTGTTTGCAATCAAATACAAGTCTTCCTCAAGTTGTTGCTTTAAACAGTCCACGTTAGCCACAGTGAAAGATAGTAATATCTTGGAGTCGTCCACGTACGATGCAAGTTTACTATGGTGTAAGTTTACTTTTCTAGTAACTAACGGAAAAGCACATCACATGCTGAAGGCAGTGAAGGTGTCGCGGCAATTTGATATTATAAAGTGCTCTCAAATATTTGGGCAAGACGCTGCTGTAAACACGTTTATTTTCTCAATTTTGTTAAGATAAAGTTCACAAACACGAATTGAACACCCACAATTATTCGGCTAATCAAAAATAGTAGAAAAGACATCACAATGAAAGCAATCTTAAAGTGGAAACAAAAAAAGGTGTCGCAGCACCCACGGCCTAATAATACCGACAGTGAAATTCGCGTTGGGTGAATTGGCCGAATTTCAGTGATATTGAGACTCTCTCGTTAGGCAATGCGTTCATCAATTGCCCGAAGTGCCTTGCATATAACCGCGGCTCATTTATGCATACGTCTAAAAGACAGCTAGTACGAGGGTAGCATGTTGATTCTCAAAATAACTTGATTTATTGTCCGACTTCATTGTCAGTAATACTCAGTATTGAGTCTCACACGTTGTTTGCTATGGTTGCAGCACTTGTGTAACGAGATGGTTTCCAGACAAGACATTCTTGACTGCTGAGACAGATTTTAGTTATTAATTTAGGTCTAGGGTAGATTTAGCTGTGTTTAAGTGTCTAAATAATTTTTTTCAGGTATACTATATAGTGATTTTTTGGGAGGAATCATAGTATTATTACTGATTAGTATCCTCACATAACACATAACACTGAGTCACTAGAAGAAAAAATGATCTACATGTTTCAAAACCAAGCTTATTGCTTTTGAAATAATGTATTCTATCTATATCTATATATAGAAAGCGGGAAGAGATAGGGACACCCGCA